CCCTTTAGAGTTTCCAGGTATGTCAAGAGCTCGCTCACTGACAGCTTGAGGATGCTCCCAGGGACACATACCCAGCTGTCTGGATTGTCTATGGAAGCTCCTTTCCCTAGGCTTGAAGCTAGGGTCAACCAACTCCACCTGATGCCCCAGGGTGGGGTGTGTACCACTCCTAGCTCATTGAAAGCTCTCTCCTGAAATTCCTTTCTAATTTTATTTTTATCTTTACCTTTCCACCTTGGTGACGGGTTAAGAGTTACAAAACCAGTTTTTGGAAACTTCCTTTGCAAGTCCTGCATGGTAATCTTTAACCTATGGAATGTGGATATAGTTGACATCTGTTGTCTCGGGGGCCAGAGGCAAAAGTGAATCTGAAATAGTTCCCTTTTAACCTCCCACTAAGTGCAGATTTATCAAATTCAATGCCTTTCTTAATATTTAAGTAAAAGGTACATCCAGACACTGGAGTGTGGAGAGCACTGCTAAAGCGAACTACTAGGAAATTGAAATGATCATAAATGAACATAATGTCCAAACAGAAATAGTCCAACCAGCACCTTAGTTTTGTTTCTGGCATTGCTTTTACCTCCAGAAGCAAGAGTTGAAAGAAACTGACCTGCTTTAAAATATGTTTTTAATGGTCATGTAATATGCTATATTTCTTCAAATTTGTTAAAAATGGAAACTTTTCAAGAGTTGAATGGCATCATGGTTAGGGAAGAAAAATTCTGTAACTGGAATAGATGGTTTTAGTAATTCACATGTCTCCAATTTGTACTCTAGTCATAGCACACTTCTTAAAAGTCTGGTAAAAATAATGTGTTTTCTCTTTCCCCCTTCATTTGACTAATTTCTGTAACATACACCCGCGTAATGAATTACTGACTCAGGGACAAGAGGTAGAGAAATTACAGAGATTGCTAAGAATATCTACTGATTCTTAATTTCTACTTCTGCTTTAGAAGTTGTTTAGAAAATCTAATCAAGCCAAGCTTACATCCAGTAGAAACAGAGAGTGAATACATGTACTTCAGAGCAGGTTTTTAAAAGAGAGCTTTCCCCATGGAACAGTGACCATATTGGGGAAAGAAGAGCTCAGAAGACATGAGTTATGCCTTCTGCTGCCTGGGAGGTGTTTGCTTAGAGGACACGTTGCTCAAGTATTTGAGCCTTCCCGTTAGCCTTTTCCCAGTTGTTGGCAGAGTGAATGAGCATAAACTGTATTTGATGAGCTACAATTAACACAAATACTCATTTTTAAGCAGATTTTTTTTTTTTAAACTGAAGGAAAATGGTTTAATAAGAGAAACTTGTACTTTCTATGAAAGGACTAGAGTTTTTTTGCTCCATGTTTTTGGTAAAGTTTAGTCAAATTTAGTTTAGTTCAGCTAGAACTAACATAGAACAGTTTAGAAATACATTTTATTCCTTTTTTTAAACTAGAGATTAGCAAACCTTGGCAGAAAAACCGAATGCAGCCTGACACCGATTTTGTAAATAAAGATTTATTGGAACATAGTCGTGTTTGTTTGTTTACAAGTTGGCTACATTTGCACTGCAACAGCATTTTTGAGTGGTTGTGACAGAGACCATATGGCCTGCAAAACCTAAAATATTTACTGTCCTGCTCTTTACAGGAAAAGTTTGCAGATCCCTGTTCCAGATTAATGAAAGTACTCAGTATCAGTGTTTTTGTGGTTACATATGGCATAAATGGCTATTAATTCTCTGAATTATTATTAATTTTAAATATGTCAGTATCTTCTGTACTTGATTATTTTGTAAAAATAACTGAATTAATTCTGAAAATTGGTATGGCCTGATTGCCCTTTGGAGAATATGTTGGACATTACAAAACTCATTTCTGCTTTTCAAATCCTGTGGACAGTAAAATAATTTATTTGTTGATTTGCATTTTACCACTTACAAGCTTCTTTGGAAGACATTGTGTAGTACAAAGCAGGCTGTCAGCACTCACTTACCAAATGCTTTCTGGATTTTTTGGAACAATTAAAAATGTCAGTGCTTTTCTTCCTTTGTGTTCTTCAGTTTTCTGTGATGGCTGGATGGTTCCACTGCTTGGCATTCATGTTCCTTCCAAGTAAAGCGCAGAGACTTAAGGTTACCCTATGGGTCATTTGCCTCATCAGGGTAGTTTGATCCTTCTCAAGAGAAGTTTAGTTTAATGTGTTGTAGGAGATGTTGCCTGATAACTGAGGCTGTTCTGTTGAGCACTGTAAGAACCAGACTGGGGACAAGAATTGATTTGTTTATTCATTTATACTTATGTTTATTCAACAAATATTGAATACATGCTTTACTAGGTGCTGTGCTCTCAAGGATTTCATAGTCTCTTACAAGAGGTGGACACAAGGCAAATAATTATCATATATTGTGTTAGGTAAGATGATTGAGTTATGGGCAGGATATTATAGGAGAGAAGGGGCATCTAACTCACCATGGGGAGAGGGAAATCTTGAAAGAGGCTAAATCCGGAATAATAAATCCAGGACATCCTGTCAAAAATTCAGGTGGAGATGTCTGTCAGGTGGATTTGAGTCTCAATCTGGGATAGAGATAAGGATTTAGGGGTCTTTATTCTAGAAACGGCAGTTGAAACCCTGAGAGCTGATGAGAGCCTGAAGAGTGGGAAGAGGGCTCAGCATGGAAAGGCCAACAGTTAAAGATCAGAAAGAGATGCGTAAAGGAAACAAGGAAGAGGTCACGGAGATATTTAAGAGAACCAAGAGAACAAAAAGCAAGAGTGCTTAGAGACTGAATGAAGGGAAGGAGATAGTCAATGGAAAGATGGAAAATCCAGGATTGATCAGGGACTGGCAATGTAGGAGGCCGAGGAGAGATGGAATTCATTTCAAAAATAATCTAATGTGACTACTTATGTGCTAAACAAATAATGGCCTAGAACTTAGTTTTAGGCTGTTGTTTAAAGTAGGCCCAAATAAATAGGTTGATTTCCTATATTTGTAAAAGTCCATAATTTTAATTTAATCAAACATATTTATTCAGCACTTATTTTGTATTAGGTGCTATGAGAGTTTTGCACCCCAAGGGATAAACTATGAGGGATACAAAAATGATCACAAAGTGAAGTAGTGATATTTAAGCTAAGCTCTGGGAAATGGGGAGGAATGGAAGTACATGTAAGTCAAGAATAGAATAGGCAAGAGTTAGAGCAAAAGCACAGTGCGTGAAACTCCAGGGCAGCTGTCAGTCTTGGACTTTTGTTCTTGACTATGTCTGTCTCCACCACTGGACTCTCTAATGCCGAGGACTGTAATTCATAGAGTCTCACATGGTGTCTTACATGGTGTATAATGTTTGCTATATGAATGAAACTTGATGAACAGAAACATTGTAATTGTTACTTATTCCGTAGCCTTGCCTGTGCTGGCCTCAGTAATAAAGCAAAAACTAACTTAAAGACTAGCATTTCTGTGTTCATCAGTAAAATAGGTAATAGGTAAATTATCTTCTTGTTTTGATGTTTGAGAATGACACATTAGAACTTATAAATAAATCAAGTATATGTAATTTGTAATGTTACTATATGACGTAAAAACAATTTGAGATAGAAGTCACAAATATGAAGTTCCTTAAGACTTTGATCAAAACAACACAATTTCTTTGAGATTAAAAAAAAATTTTTTTTATTTTTCAACAACAGCTAACCAAAGATGGAATCTTCTTTACATAATAATATTGAAGTCAGTTTATACATGATTTATTTGTTAGCATGTTAATGGTTATATTTGTTTTATATTTTGAAGTGAACTGTAGCCTTCTTTTAGGATTAAAAAATAACCTCTTGGTGTACAGATGCTTTAGATTAACCAAGGGCAGTTGTTAAAAAAGCTAATATTTTATAGCTGCTTCTCTGTGTTTGATTTGATAAATTTGGGAATTAAATTTACAGTACAAATTTCATTAGTGGAATTACGTAGTCAATTTGGAGAGGTTCATTTAATGTGCTACCTTGATTTAGAATGAACATTTAGAAATATGAAGAGTTGACTGGGCATGGTGTCTAACGCCTGTAATACTAGAACTTTGGGAGGCCGAGGTGGGCAGATTGCTTGCACTCAGGAGTTTGAGACCAGCCTGGGCAAAAGAGACATGGCAAACATGGCAAAACCTCGTCTCTACTAAAAATACAAAACAAAAAAACAAAAAATTAGCCAGGTATGGTGGCTCATGCCTGTAGTCCCAGAGAGTTGGTGGCCTGAGGCAGGAGAATCGCTTGAGCCCAGGAGGTTGAGGCTGCAGTGAGCTGTGTTTGTGCCACTGCACTCCAGCCTGGGTGACAAAGTGATACCCTGTCTCAAAAAACAAAAGAAACAAAAAAAGAAGCAATGTGAAGAGTTAGATAAATGATACAATAATAGCCCATGTTTTCTTGTTGCTTGTCAAAAAGGAAATAACAGTATGTATTATAACCACACAGGATGTATTGATTTAAGGATTACAGTAGAAAATAATTCCAGGAATTGGAAAGTGAAGGATGTTACTCTATGAAGATTTTGTATCCTTAATTATTTATAAGTATTTGAGTTATGTGTGACTTCATTTTCTCCATGATTTTTTGATAATGGTATCCAAAACAAATCTGAAGTTATTTGTTAGTTTGACCTGTGTTATCCTTGCTTCATAAATTCCTGAATTATCTATTTTAATCTGATTCTTATTTCACAAATGATGGAAGTCAGATTAAGCAGTTTGTTTAAATGACCTGCAATGAGTTATAGAGATAGGTCACCTTTCTATGCTAACGAGTTGGCAAGAAAAATTCATGAAATTTTACAGGCTTCCTGTTGCAGTTGACCACAAATACACTTCTATAAATGAAAATAAACAGGTTTGTTCATTGCATCATTATAAATGTAATTTTAAGATTAATTTTCTAAATCATTTTTTCCAAGTAAGCAAGCAAGAAAAATAAATAAGAACTCATATATTTTCTTGTCTTTTTTTCCCCTGCCCAATAGGACCAGACATATTATCAATCATTTCAGGTTTCAGAATATGGTAAGAGTTCCTCAATTTATTTTGGAAGAAAAAATATTTGTTACTTTCTGGAGAGACTAGAGAAATGTTTAAGGGATGTGTTATTTGAAGTAAAAACCCCAATGGAGTTAAAATTCTGGTGTTTTTTTAATAGGCTTTAACATATTTTTTTCTTCTGTAAAAATTCTAAAATCTCATTATATAGAAAAAAGTCAAAAAATATCACCTATATTTGTATTATGCTAGTCTTTTTCTTATGCACAACACAATCTATTTTTCTACTTTGTCATGATCATAAAATATTTTAAATGTGCTTAAAAATACTTAAATTCTCTTCCACAGTTTTCATTTGTTTGGCTTTGGTAAAGACAGTCTGTTGAACTCAGGTAAATCGTCTTCTTGCAGGTGCCATACTTATAATATCATAGTTAGAAATCCGTAGATTAAAACATGGGACTCACCTATTTTGTTGGTGAATGGAGAGGAATGAGAGATGAGAGTGAAAGCATAGGATCTTAGTATTAGCTATAATTTGAATAGTTATTTTGAGGTTACACATGCAGTTTTTTGTTTGATTTGAGCTTCTCTTTGAGATTGGGTTTTATTTAGGCAGTAGAAATGATAATATCCAGGTAGTAGTACCTCCGGCTCTGTGGGCCATGTATCTCTATCATTACTACTCAGCTTTGCCTTGGTAGCAGCAGCTAAAGATACTATGTACATGAATGTTTCTGTGCTGCAATAAACCTTATTTTATGGGCATGAAAATTTGAATTTCATATAATTTTCATATGTCATGAATATTATTCTTCTTTTGATCTTTTCCAACCAGTTAAATATTGTAAAATATGTTCTTAGTTCGTGCTGGTCGTAGTTTACTGAACTCTGATCTGTATCTATGCTCCCCAGTATGGGGGCCACTTGCCATGTGTGGCAGTTAAGCACTTCAGATATGGCTAGTCCAAATGGAGACACCAGATGTTAAAGACTTAGTATAAGAAACAAGAAAGAGGGCCGGGCGCGGTGGCTCAAGCCTGTAATCCCAGCACTTTGGGAGGCCGAGGCGGGTGGATCACGAGGTCAAGAGATCGAGACCATCCTGGTCAACATGGTGAAACCCCGTCTCTACTAAAAATACAAAAAGTTAGCTGGGCATGGTGGCACGTGCCTGTAATCCCAGCTCCTCAGGAGGCTGAGGCAGGAGAATTGCCTGAACCCAGGAGGCAGAGGTTGTGGTGAGCCGAGATCGCGCCATTGCACTCCAGCCTGGGTAACAAGAACGAAACTCCGTCTCAAAAAAAAAAAAAAAGAACAAGAAAGAAAAATAGTTCGTTAATTACCATTTGTTATTTTGATTATTTGTTGAAATAATAATATTTTAGATATATGGGGTTAAATAAAATATAGAAATTAATTTCATCTGCTTATTTTTACTTTTAAAATTTGGGTACTAGAAATGAACAATTACACACATGGCTCACATTTTATTTCTTTTAGACAGCCCTGATCTAGAAGAATAAATCACAGGGGACCAACATTTTATAGGCTATCTTTATATCCCATTGTGGTGATATGCTGGGTGGTTGTATGTTGTTGAATAAGGTATAGTGGAGGTGGGGAATTGATTACAAACCTATAATGTTTGAGGAAGAGGTGTTTTGATTTCCTTGGTGGTGGGGGTTGGTGGGGTCAAGTTGGCTCACATGACTTTTTTGGTCTCCCTGTCCTAGACTGGTCTAGAGTCTAGGAGTGTCTTGGCACATTCAGGGCCATTAGCCTTGACTGGAGCTGAAGGTCTGCCCTATATTGTTGCCCCTTTGAGTATTTTGATACTTCTCTTATGTTAATTGAATGGTGAGGTGCCTTGTTATGAGAGTGACCTGTTTCTTTGGTCAGAGAACTATAGAAAAAAAGTTTTATGGACACATTTTTTACTCTGGTAGAGTGCTTTATATCAATTAAAGTATTAATACTTTCAAAATAGTTTATACCTTAATTATTATTATTATTTTTTGAGATGGAGTCTCACTGTGTTGCTCAGGCCAGAGCGCAGAGGCACAATCTTGGATCAATGCAACCTCTGCCTCCTGGGTTCAAGTGATTCTCCTGCCTCAGGCTCCCAAGTAGCTGGGATTACAGGTGTGTGCCACCATGCCCAGCTAAGTTTTATATGTTTAGTAGAGACAGGGTTTCACCATGTTGGCCAGGCTAGTCTTGAACTCCTGACCTCAGGTGATCCACCTGCTTCAACCTTCTAGAGTGCTAGGAGGCATGAGTCTCTGCTCCCAGCCTCATAACTTAATTATATAAAGCTAACCAAACTAGGGATTTCTAGTTTTGGGTAAAATAAAGGGCTTTTCATCTGTGTTAACATGTATTTGGATTCTAATGAATTTAAGTTAAAATAGTACAAATTATTAACTCCTTCAGAACAATTTTATTTTTCATTTTGTTCAGTGGAAGATGATAATGAAGTAGATTTTTTTAAAAGATTTATCCTTGCTTTTCTTTTCCAGTATTACCCAAGTTCGATGTGGCTTTGCAGACACCGTTATATTGTTCTATGAATTCTAAGCATTTGAATGGTACCATCACGGCAAAGTAAGTGTCATTTTTCTTTTGCTATGATTCGAAACCATTGTCAAACTGTATGACTAAAAGCTGATTATATACTCCAGAATATTAGGGCAATTTTTGCTTATTAAAATACCTTAGTGGACAGGAAACAACTATTTATAATAAATAATTAAGCGTGGGACAGATCTCTGCATCCATTGCTCTGCTTCTAAGCTGACCCAGTCCTAAAATATTTCCCATAGACTAGTGTCTGTCTTAGACTTATTAAGGGATTTACATTATAGATAGCACTTGGTTTTTTTTTTTTTTTTTTTAGATTACATGGAATTGAGGTAACTTATCTTTTCTTAAATTCTATTTTTTTCCATTGATAATGGAGGTAGAGCTCTTGAGGGAGAGAATTGGTTGCCTTATTGCAATTAACAAATGAGTAAATAATCCACATTTATCCTTTACATCATGTGGACACAGAGACTTCCAACCCACCTTACGGAGCAGGTCTATGGTGTCTGTCATGATTTTGACTCACTAGCTTGAACAACACATAGCATTTTGTTTTGCTGAGGCAAAAAGCATTGTCAGAGTTCCAGACTAATGGTTCTCCGGAGTGCAGGCTGGGATTGCCCTCAAGTAATTCAAGGACTGGTCTCTTGTGGCTTTTATTTTTTATGTGTCAGTATCTGTGCTTTGGTTTCTGAAATATACTTAGTTTCAGAATTTACTTCTAAAAGCTAATAAAAGCTGGACCTCACTCTGCCATCTTCTCACTATATCCCTCGCCGGCTGAGGGTTTGTGGCCATGGCATGTCAAAGGATGGGCAGCAGAGAATCTCCTGGCAGAAGCATCTCCATAGACCAAAATGTTCTGAGGACTTCTATTTTAGACTTCAGCAAAATAATTATAGGAAGCCTATGTAACATAAAGGCAAAAGTGTGTCTACAATTTGTATCAAGTTAGATTTCAACTAAAAGTTAACTTCCAATATGCATTTGGGTTTCGTGAATGGATTAATGGTTTAGACAATGCATAAATGTCTGCATTTCCCATAATTATCATACAGTACTCGATCTTAGCTGAAGGTTAAGCATTCTGAGTTTTATTTTGAGTTCTTTGACTAATGCTTATAAAAGTTAGTGGGTACAAATCCACACAGACGTTGTGTGCGGACCTGCCCAGTCCCTGTCCACATGGGTTGGGCTGAGTCTGGCTATCCTCTTTCGTTCTGTTTTTGGTTTTCAGAAGTGTGCCAGGGATTTAATACACTAAGTTAAAACAGTGGTTGTAAAACTTTGGTAGCTCTCCAGAAAAAGTTACATGTCATTTTAGGGGATGACGGGTTTCCCTGAAGCCTTACTATCGACACTCTCCTCCCTAGCCCGGTGGGAGCACTTGTTTCATCACGGTTCTCATGGTTGAGCCTTTTTGAGACACTAATGGTTGATAATAACATGACAATTGTGATGGCCTCATGACATTTCTTTAGTGTTCACTGTGCTGTATTATTGTCATTTTTCTTAGTATGTGCATCAGTTGAGGTTCAACCAGGGAAGGAGAGCCAGTGGTAGATTTATATATTCCAGGGTGGCGCAGATCTTCTGTGTGATTTGGAGGAATGGCCACCATGTGGGTGAGGCGTCTCTCCCCAGAGGGCTGTGAGTAAATGATGAGCATCATATCTTCGCCCTAGCTGTCCTGAGTTCTGGGCCTACCAGTACAGAACCAAGAGAGTCTGTTGTTGCCTCCAGGGTGTAGAATCAGACTGAAAAGATCATTTACAAGTTTGCAACAGATTTAAGAAAGCCCTTTGACCAGCAGGAGATCTTTTATCAGTCTATACAACTTGGCGTATAAATACTGGCATATACTATTCTATAAATAGTGTCCCAGAAAAGGTAGGCCCTCCTCATCATCCTTACTGTGTCTGTCATGATGAAAGCAACATCTCTTTTTCCTTCAGAAGCAAATTCCTCCACTTGGGTCTTGGACACTGTCTCCTGAATCAAGAGAATCAAAATCCTGCTTCCTCTTTTACCTGTGTCTCAATTTCTTCCATTTGGTATCTTTAACCTTTTGTTCTTTGGTAGGATCTTCACTCTGTGTTTAGTCATTTGTGTTATTAAAAGAAACAAACCCTTGCTTAACTTCCATGCCTCCTTCCAGCTGCTGCCTTATCTCACCTCATCTCCACAGCCAGTTAGAATTTCATTTCCACGTCTTCATATTCTGTTCATTCTTCATTCACCTGCAATCAGCCTGTGACCTTCACCATGCCATTGAATTTGCTTTCACCATGATTACAGAGACATCTTGCTTAATCTTGTGTGTAGATTTTAAGGTTTTTTTTTTTTTTTTTTTTTTTACAACTTTTTCTTTGCAGATTATGACATTGTTGTCCACTCTCATTTCTTTTCCAGTTTTCCTTCTTTCTCTTTGAGACTCTTGCAGGTAACTCCCTCTGTCCATCTTTTAAAAGTTCTTGTTTCAAGGCTGGTGCAGTGGCTCATTCCTGCAATCCCAGTGCTTTGAGAGGCCGAGGTGAGAGGATCACTTGAGGCCAGGACTTTGATACCAGCCTGGGCAACATAGTGAGACCTGTCTCTACAAAAAAATAAAAAAAATTAGCTGAGTGTGGTGGTGGACATCTGTGGTCCAAGCTACTCGTAAGGCTGAGGCAGAAAGATTACTTGAGGCTGCAGGAGCTATGATTGTGCCACTGCACTCCAGCCTGGGCAACAAAGCAAGACCCAATTTCTTTTTTTCTTTTTCTGAAAAAAATAATAAGAAAAGTTCTTTCTTAGAGCTCTCCTTTGGTTCTCTTCTTTCTCTATACATTACTCAGATTTTTTTCCTCCATGCCTAGGTCTTCTGCTACTGTTTTTAACTGATGATATCACATCTCCAGCTGCACATGTCTTTCTTGGGGTTCAGACACTGCTATGTCACTGCCTGCTAGACATTTCTCACAGGCGCTTTTATTTATTTATTTCCCTCCTCCTCCTCCTCCTTCTACTTTTTTTTCTTCCCTCTTCTTCCTTCTTCTCCATCCCCTCCTCCTGCTTCTTCTTTCTTCCTTCATCCCTCCCCTCCTCCTCCTCCTCTTTCCCTTTTTTGGTAGGTCCCTGTAGAAGATCCCACAGGTACTTTTAAAGCAAACAAATAATCTTTCCCCAAACCTGATTGTTCTCTTATATCTCTCTTGGTAGACTGTACCACCTTCGGGTTAGCTTCCCATCAGCTGTGCTCTCCTTGTTCCCTCCATCCCCATAGCCAGTCACCATCCACAGCTTTTGATTCTAGCTCCTTACTCTCTCTCAAATCCTTCCATTTTTCTCCACAGCCACTTCCTTGATTCATGCCATCATCATCTCTCCCTCCTCACCTACTGTTGCAGTTTCTTAAATGTTTTTCCTGACTCAGGCTTTATTCTTCCAATCTTTTCTTGGCATGGTATCAAGTTTCTTGTTTCTCTTACTGAAAGGCAAATTTGATTTTATCACTCTTTTTGCGTGAAAACTTTCAGACTATTGCCTTGAGAGTGAAGTTCAGATTCTTTAGTTTATCTTGCAGGGCTCTTTTCTGGATTCATGTCTTTTGAAACATTCCACCTTCCTCTACTCCAGCCCATTCTGTACTGACGCACACTCTCCTCTCAAATTTTACTTTAGCTTCTAAAAATGCAAAACACTTTTTTCTGACCAGCAGGCCATTACATAGGCAATTTCAGGGCTTACTACTCGCCCCCAATGCTTTCTATGCCCCTCATAACACTAATCACACAGTGCTGCTGCTTGCTCGTCTACCTTGGTACCCTACTACAGGATCAGCCATGGAGTTGGTATCTAATATATACCTACTGAAAGAAAAAATAGGCCAGGCACAGTGGCTCATGCCTGTAATATCAGCACTTTGGGATGTTAAGGAGGGTGAATCATTTGGGGTCAGGAGTTTGAGGCCAGCCTGGCCAACATGGCAAAACCCCATCTCTACTAAAACCACAAAAATTAGCCAGGTCTGGTGGCACACTCCCAGATATTCACGAAGGTAAGGCATGAGAATTGCTTGAACCTGGGAGGCGGAAGTTACAGTGAGCCAAGATTGCACCATTGCACTCTAGCCTGGGTGATAGAGACTCTGTCTCAAAAAACAAAAAAAAAAGGAAAAAGAAAGAACAAATAGATAAGTAACACGACCCTTAAGATTTCAGCTCTAAGCTGTATATAGCACAGCAAAGGTCTCCAAAGCAAACCAAAAGCCTAGTATTTGGAGTTCTGTGGATATAGGAAAAAAGAAATTCAGTTTATCTTATTTTCTCATTCAACAATCAACACAGAAGACTTCTGTGACCTCTGGTCATGAAGAAGTGGGTAAGGATTTCTCCCCATTGGGTGTCCTCTAGTTCAATTCAAATCTGACACTATCTACTGGGACACAGCATCAGATCATAGATCACTTGCTCCAAGACTGTCCCCACTTCAGATGCCACTCATAAGTAGTAGGTTGTCACCTATACTTCTGATTGATTGGCTGCAAATCAGAGTTCCCACTAGCTTCTCTTTGGGTTTGACTCATTGCTGGAGCTGCTCACAGAACTCAGGAAAACAATACTAGCTTATTGCAAAGCATATTATGATGGATAGAGATGAAGAGCCGGAAGAGATGCGTAGGGTGAGCCATGTGGGAAGCGACACGGAGCTTCCATGCTCTCTCTCAGCTCTGCACCCTGCCCTCTAGGAACCTCCATGTTTTCAGCTCTCTGGAAGTTCTCCAAAACCTGTCCTTTCGGGTTTTTATTTTATGTTTTCTTTTCCTTTTTCTTTTTTTTTTTTCATTTACCACTCATCGGAAGGCAAGGTATTGCTTTATAAGCTTTTTGTCCTTTTTTGTGCTATGGCTGCTTTCAGAGAAAAAAAATTCCTTGTTTTGTTAATGAAATCATCCTAGAATATTTTGATTTGCTTTTTATTTTATTTTTTTTTTTAAGTGATGAAGTCTCACTCTCTTGCAGGCTGGAGTGCAGTGGTGCAGTCATAGCTTACTGCATTCCCAAACTTCTGGGCTCAAGCAATCTTCTCACCTCAGCCTCCCAGGTGGCCAGGGCTATAGGTGCGAGCCACCAGGCCTGGCTAACTTTTTGTCCTTTATAACGATGAGGTCTTGTCATTTTCCCCAGCCTGGTCTTGAATTCCTGGCCTCACACAATCCTCCTGCCTTGGTCTCCTCAAGTGCTGGGACAACAGGCATGCTCCACCACTCCCGGCCTGATTTGCTTTTTAAAAATTAGTCAAGCTTTTATTTTCTGAATGATTAACTTACCCCAAATGCTTCCAGGTTCTATTAGGACAATAATTGTATCTTTGTTTCACAATTATTATAGCCAGCTTGCTGTTTGGAAAACTAAATCTGCTTCACATTGAAGTCAAAATTAAAAATTTTTGTGTCTGAGAGTACTTTAAATTATATTTGGGTTTTAAAGATCCATATACTATCATGTGAGGTAACTCAGTTAAGATACAATATCCTGGCATTCTAATTTTGCTTTTATTTAATCTTTAGCATGATACAAGTAGGGTCAGGTTTCGAAGACTCTGGAATGGGTGAATTTGATATTATGGTTGCTAACTAGGGATTTCACTAACTTTACTGTTTTTGTTTGGAAGTATGCTGCATTTGAAGGTGGATTTTATTATTTTTTTCTTCTTAGTTTGGAAAATGCTATATTTTAAGTTGAGTTGATCCAGATGAGGGGCTGTTTCTGTGTTCAGTTAATGGATTCAGGAAGCAGCAGTTTATTGCTGTGATTTATAGACTGCAGAGCGAAATTGACTTCCATCTCTGGCTCACATTTCACAATAGAGATAGAGACAACCCAGGAAATGCATTTTAAAAAGGCTTTCTGGCAGTAAAATGTATTCCCTTTTCTTCACATGAAGAGACTTTCCTATCATGAGAGAGGATAAAATTAATACACAGAAAAGTAGAAGAGAATGATGTTTGACTCAAAAAGCTATGTTTGGGCCGGGCACACTGGCTCGTGCCTATAATCCCAGCACTTTGGGAGGCCAAGGTGGGTGGATCACTTGAAGTCAGAGGTTTAGACGAGCCTGGCCAATATGGTGAAACTCCATTTCTACCAAAAATACAAACATTAGCTGGGTGTGGTGGCAGACACCTGTAATCCCAGCTACTCAGGAGGCTGAGGCAGAAGAATCACTTGAACCTGGGAGGCAGAGGTTGCAGTGAGCCAGGATTGGGCCATTGCACTCTAGCCTGGGCAACAGAGTAAGACTCTGTCTCAAAAAAAAAAAAAAAACAAACAAAAAAACAAAAAAAAAACCCACAGAATTTTCTGGGCCTGGTGGTGTGTGCTTGTCATCCCAGCTACTCGGGAGGCTGAGGCAGGAGAATATCTTGAACCCCGGAGGTGGAGGTTGCAGTGAGCTGAGATCACACCACTGCATTCAGCCTGGGTGACAGAGTGAGACTCTGTCTCAAACACGCACACACACATACACACACACACACTGAAACGAAACAAAAAACCAAGTTTGGTACTATGGATTTAAAAAATTATTCTTGCCGGGCGTGGTGGCTCATGCCTGTAATCTCAGCATCCCAGCACTTTGGGAGGCCGAGGCGGGTGGATCACGAGGTCAAGAGATCGAGACCATCCTGGTCAACATGGTGAAATCCCATTTCTACTAAAAATACAAAAAATTAGCTGGGCATGGTGGCACGTGCCTGTAATCCCAGCTACTCAGGAGGCTGAGGCAGGAGAATTGCCTGAACCCAGGAGGCGGAGGTTGTGGTGAGCCGAGATCACGCCATTGCCCTCCAGCCTGGGTAACAAGAGCGAAACTCCGTCTCAAAAAAAAAAAAAAAAAAAATGATTCTTATTTTAAATTTTTCTGCAAAAAATCCATTTTTGACAGCCATGAGCACATTTGGTGTTCCAGAATCTATGGTCTAATAAACCTTCCTGGCTAATATCAGAACATGCAGGAATAGAACATGGTGATTGCAATTTCAGCTGAAATTTAAAAATCTTCTAAAGCTGCAAAGTTTCCTGGGAATGCAGTTAATGGGCTAATCCAGATTTCTAGGAGTGAAGGATTTACATAATATTTAAAAAATCTTTGGACAGAAAACTGTCACTCCCAATTATGATCAGGTTTTCTTCTGGAGTCTTTCAGATGATCAGAGGTTGGGCAGAGTGTGTGTTAAGAACTGTTTTAAGGTACTATAGTTAAAAGTCTTCCCATTTTGGAAACTTAATTTCAAGGATCACCATTTGTTTTTTATTTATTTAATTTTTTTGAGACAGAGTCTCATTCTGTTGCCCAAGCTGGAGTGCAGTGGCACGATCTCGGCTTACTGCAGCATCTGCTCCTATTTTTAAGCAGTTCCCTGCTTCAGTCTTCCGAGTAGCTGGGAATATAAGCCACCTGCCACCAGACCCAGCTAGTTTTTGTATTTTTAGGAGTGACGGGGTTTCATCGTCTTGGCCAGGCTGGTCTTGAACTCCAGACCTTGTGATCCTCCTGCCTCAACCTCCCAAAGTGTTGGGATTACAGGTGTGAGCCACTGCGTCTGGCCCAATGTAATTTTTTAAAATGTTGGATTGCTAAAATGTATGCCATTAAAAGTAGTATTTTTATTGTGTTCTGACAATATGAAGTTGATATGTAAAAAAGACTATGTTTATAATTATTCAGGTATACATATGGGAAGCCAGTGAAAGGAGACGTAACACTTACGTTTTTACCTTTATCCTTTTGGGGAGAGAAGAAAATTATTACAAAAACATTTAAGGTAACTTTTGCAGATATTTTATGTCTTGTAATGGCGAAAAATATATGTAGTTTTTCTAGAAATAAGATTTAGTACTGAATTAACCAAAAGTTAAGTGTAAGAAAATCAAGAGCTTTCCAGCATTGAATAAGCGAGAATTTACCCAATTTATAGTGATTAAAATGGTACCAGAGCTATCATATTGTTGTGACTTAGTCTTCGTGTTATTTCTAAAATTTGAATTGCTAAAATGAAAAATAATAC